GAGTTTATAGAGATACGAGTAAACATCTGTGCAGACTGAATTATCTATGATACTAGAATAAAAAATGGTTTGCAAGAGTGTAAACACAGGATCGTACCAGACGTCTAAAACTGTAAACACAAATCACAATGGTCACTACAGGAATACAATCTTGTTAAACCAGTTTAGATAAAGCAGAGAATAGAAAATTGAATAATTGAGAACCAGTAAAGAGAAAGCTCACTTATGCAGACCGTGTTAAGATAATGCATAAAAATAAATCCAGCCAGATCCCAAAACTGTTGAGGAACAAACATTTTACTGGCCCTCCAAGCAAAGAAGTTGGGGCATTGACAGCTCCCTGACACCACCATCCAACCTCTGTACCTGGGAAGGACAGACGCTGTCAAGCTTAAGACCCAGAGGGACACCAGAAGGATGAGCATCACATCAGAAAAAAAGGTACATAATAGGAAAGTTTTTCTGTGTAACAATTTTAACTATGTTAACAAAGGCTTTTCTGTATTATAGTTGTCCAGTAGTAACTGGACTAACAATAACTTTTATTAGCCTGTCAAATTAGACAAACAAGAAATTTTTGCTCCACTTATGTACCCTTTTGCCCACTGTTTTTTGGGTGCAACATCCTAAAACCCATCATGTGGCAGTGCCAGCCTCAGTATTAACCCCTGAAACTTGTAGCAGATATTCTCTAGATTCAAACATTCTGAAAAAATTAGTTACCCCTATCATTCAACCTGAAAATTAAAGAAATCAAGCTTAAATTAAAATATATGGTCAGGCTCTATTAACCCCTGAAACTTGTAGCAGATATTCTCTAGATTTAAACATTCTGAAAAAATTAGTTACACCTATGATTCAACCTGAAAATTAAAGAAATCAGGCTTAAATTAAAATATATGGTCAAGCTTCTACCTACAAATCAAAAGAGCAAATAAAATACAAAAGACAATTCTGGATTACTTGCATTTCACTCAAAATCCTTAGGCAGAACATGAAACTTGTAGCAGATATTCTCTAGATTTAAACATTCTGAAAAAATTAGTTACACCTATGATTCAACCTGAAAATTAAAGAAATCAGGCTTAAATTAAAATATATGGTCAAGCTTCTACCTACAAATCAAAAGAGCAAATAAAATACAAAAGACAATTCTGGATTACTTGCATTTCACTCAAAATCCTTAGGCAGAACAAAGTTTTTTTTAGACCTGGAGGTTCAGTCTTTACATGAACTATTCTAAAAGCTGTCCCCTTAACCAAAATTTTTCTCCTACTCACAGCTTTGCCGATCAAATTTATTTGTCCTTGTCCTTATAGGTAAAATATTCAAAGGTTAGCCAGAATATCATTGCTGCAATGTAACTGAAGTATTTTGGTTTTGGCTAGGAGCTGATATCTTCAGAGAATATCCTCAAGGCTTGAGACCTCTGTCTCCCTCAAGTTACTTCTCTCCACACAAGTTTCATTTCACAATTTAGAGGAGTTTCTTTCTCTCAGACAGCAAAATAAACATTTCAAAACCTTTGTTCTACTGTGTTTTATATGCTACACATATAAAGTAATATCAGCTGCAAAACAGTTCTGTTTGCTTATTTGGTTTTAGATATATTGTGGACTTGCCACAGAAATAGTATATGATGCATTAACAACAACAGCAATAGATGACTTGGTACTTAAAACAAGCAGTCTTCTCTTCCTAATGCTAGCTATGAGTTCAAGGTGTTTCCTATGGCATAATGAAAATGAAAAAAGAAAAAAGAAAAATCATGCTCTCTGAAAACAAGGTTTCAGGACTTGATTTATAAAACCTTACGTAGGAAAAGAAAATCCCTCAGAGAAGACAAAGAGCCTTCATTTCTTTTACATTTATTAGCAAGTCATTTTGATTACTTCTTTGGTCCACAAGAAAATGAAGTCAGATAGTGGCCTGGATGTCATTGCTGTTGGATTTCATTCTAGTTTTAGGAGTGAACACTGATTTAACTGTAGTGGCCTCATACAGAGGCTAGCATTTGTATGTCCAGCATGACAATTTAAAGAATACATTTTATATTCTGATTGTTACCTGCTCCAGAGTTTATCAAGACTATCACAGAACAGTAATTTGTTCCTAGCGGAAGTAAGGAAAAAACCGTCAGCAATATCCTCTAGCAAGAGACTATGTTGAGCTGTCAAGTGCCTTTCTTCTTCAGAGACATTTTGGATTTTTATGGTCAAATGGGTAATTCACCCCAACTTGTTCTTTTTTTGACAAGTAAGGCTTTCTGAGAAAACCCACACATACTGTATTTGTCTTAGGTCCATAGGTCTCAAACTACAAAATAATTTATTTTTTGAACTCTGAAAATTCTCATGTCTGCACAATATCATCTCCTATTGTCAGCGTGGTCTCACATGCTATTTATGTGCATCTCTGCTACTCAGTCATTATGCCACATAAGGACACATCAGTTTAGATATATGCTCACAAATATTTTAACTCTACTGCAAAGATCTGGGACATGTTGGATCAGTTAATGTGGCACATGGCTACACATCTATCAAACTATAATAGAGGCAAAGACTGAGTTACAGTTTAAAGCACGTCCACCTCTTTCACACATGGCAAACACAGCAGCAGGGCCCACGTTCTTTTTTTCATGGGTTAGTTTGGGGTTTGGGTGGGGGTTTTTAGCTTGGTATCAGTGATGCATTTATAGAAATAAATATTGCTTAAATCTAAATATCATTGTAAGATGCAAGATCGTTACTAATGTTGATGATTGAAGGCATCAACCTGATCTTCATGTAAACAGGAAGAGTTTCAGCATGAATATTGTGAAACTTGAAAATAAGGTCCTGTATGCATTACAAAATACAGAAGAGAAAGATAAATCCATTTTTACTGAGATGTATGTGAAGAGGAAAGTGGTACTAGTGATATCCTTTCTTTCTGAAAATACACTCAGGCAGGTACAATCCCAGTGGCTTTATCAAACCAAAATACGCCCTGCCTAATCATTCAGGCTTTGTGACAGAAAAGTAAATCAGGGAGTTCAGTTCCCTCTGGTAATTGAAAGGTATCAATTTTTAATGAGAATATGAATAATTTATTATCCCCCCATAAAAAAAATATTTTGAATAATTTGTTAATCTTAGTAATAGTGTGACAAAATATCTAGGGAAGAGAATTGAAGCAGCGGAGTACTAAGGATATGATGTTCATTTTAATTAAATTATTCCTCCCCTACAGAGAATAGTTTTAAAGATCCCATTTGTCAAGAACTGGAGCTACAGTATTATTGATCCAGATTATATATTGTGAACAAGAAAAAAATATATAATTTTGAGGTGAACATATAGATCTTGGCATACTAAAGTATTTATCAAAATAATTAAACACACAAATAATCCCACCCCAATTCACAACACAGCAATTAGAATACATGCTTAACATACACATTTACATTTCCTGTAACTTCAGTGCAACTGAAGCAGATGTTTAAATTTAAATTCTTTACTATTTAGGGATTATCTTACACACCTGAAATTAAACATACTCAACTATGCTACTGAATCAAGAACTTGATCCATCAGTCAGAACTGAACTAACCAATTTTTTTTATCATGAATAATTTGTGTGACTTCTGAATGCAATTGTCAGCAGCTATTGTTTCAATTAATCACATACCCTACCACAGAACCAAATATATTATTTAAGTGTGTACAAAACTTATTATGGGATGTTTAGGGGAGAGAACACAGGAGGGAAAAAGAGAAAGACCAAAGTGGATGAGGAAGGAACAAGCACAGGGAAAAAAGGCAAAAGAGGATAAAAGATGCCAGTCGTGAAAGTTGGTGCCGGCCAGTAAAGCTGTCTGACAATGCCTCAGGCTCGATCAGTATCCTATAATCTTATTAAATCCCATGTCTATCTTCTGCATAAGTACACTCCCTATCCTGATCCTCTACTCGAGCTGGCCACTAGCAAAGTTCGAACTGCACTAGCCAGCAAGCAGGATGAGGCCTGAGTGCCCGCTACTGGAGAGACTAAGTCTAAGACCAGTCATTGGAGAGGGCAGTGTTTTGTGTGGGTGCTTGGCTGTCAGCCGCTACCTAATATCAAGTCAGACGAGCCAGCAAGTAGCAGGAAGCCAGCATCCAGAAAGACCCATGGTCATGACCAGTGACCAGGTAAAGGGTCTACAGACTGAGCACTTATACAGGACAGACTTAAATCTGTGCTAGTATCCGAGAGATCAGCAGACACACACGTATTTAGGACCTGAGTGTGTGAATGTATGTGTACGTTCTGCTAGTGAACTTTGAACTAGCCAGCAAGTAGGAGCAGACCAGCATCCAGAAAGACCCAAGGTCTGAGCCAGTGACTGGATAAGGAGCCTAGGAGCCAGACATGAGTACTGGAGAAACTTAAAAGTCTATGCTAACTTTGAAAAGATCTGGGGGTGTGTTAGTGCATCAATAGACTGAAGGTGTATGCGTGTACCCCCGCACAGTTCAATCCTAATCACCCACACACCAGCAACTACATCAGGCTGCCTGCACTGCTCGTATTTAGGTGAGCGCTGACTGTTTTTAGGGGTGTGCTGGTAAAGGCATTGATCTCTGTGTTGATCTGCGTGGTTGGCTGTGTGATTTTATGTGATGATTTTATCATGATCTTTCATCTCCAAAAGTTCTTACACAAAAAGTTCATTTTTTTTTCCTACAGATACCCCCTCATTTAAAAATACAATATGTTAAGGTAATGTTTTCAAGAACTCTATAATTGTTTTCAGCCTCTTATTTAGGAAAAACGATCTATGTAATTGCTTCATTTTTCCATACATTTTGCTATTAATATCAATACCAGTAGAGTGGGGTGTTTTTTTGTTTCTTTCTTTCTTTTTTTAGTCTTCTGTCCACTTTCAGCAAAGTTAGACATATATCTCAAACACTCCTTCAATGCTTTGTGGAACTCAACAGCTGGATAGACAAAGAAAGTAATTAATTACATACCTCGTGGCTGTTTAAGCAGAAGACGGAAAACAGATTCCTCACTGGTGGACTTGGATAGGACTGATGCATTGAAATGACAACTAGACTGCTCCTGATCTAAAAAAAAAAAAAAAAAAAAGAATTAAAAAAAATCATAGAGGGAAACTCATTTAGAAGTCAAGATTGATTGAACAATTTCCCTAATAAAACAACTTCATAGACAGAGGTTTTTAAAAACACCAACATTCTCAAATGGAAGTGCATGGGCCTTTTTATTTCCCTTTTGCTTAAGTGTTCTTTCAGTATTTTCCTCATTGCGATGAAAAAAAATACAGATATGATATGGAGATCTTCTTAAATAGAATTAAAATAAAATAAAACACCATCAAGAAAACCCAAGGTTTAAAATGTTTTCAGTTAAATAACATCTAGAAATTACAAAAGAAACTGTTTTCTAGATTAAAAAAAGCCCATGGTGATATGAAACATCTAAGAGAAAGCTTGACAGAAACAGGTTCAGGACCAGCAGTACTGCAACAGTTGCAGACAAGAATTGCTTTCTTGATGACAAGTTACCAGATCAACTAACAGATTACTTCATAGAGACAGAGGATTTAGACATTATTTTGTTTGTTTTCACTGATTACTGTCAATGTTGTGGATAAATGAAAAACGAGATGGGAAAAACTGGTTTGAAGTCCAATTTTATAAACAGGTTTTGGAGTTGTTCAAGCAGCCGAAGGTGTCTTGCTAAAAGAATTGACACTTGCGGGAAATGCATTGTGGGAAATATATCTAGCAGTTAACTCCAAGAATCTGTGCCGAATAGATAGACTGTGTCTGAATAATATGTCATATTAAAGGGTAGTAGCACCAAATGATGAACTGCTGACAGGAAGATATGATACACAGGAATGCATCAAACAGCCAGGGGAAGACTGTCATTTGGGGTTACAGAGCAAAGTTAAAATAGCTTTAAGGAGTAGAACAAAGAGCAAAGACGTTCAGGAAGGCAATGAAAAGCTCTCCTGGAAATATCAAACTTCTTGCTTCTTGTGAGAAGAGAAGTAGCCTCAAAATTACTTCACCTCAAGAGCAAAGTTTCAAGTTTTGGAAACCAGCTTAGAGGTTTAAAATGAAATTTGCAATCTATAGGGAAATACTTAAAGAATTCAAGGGCCTTTTCCAAGTATTAAAAGATAAATGCATAAGAAAACCCTACATGCCCATTTTAGTATGTCAATAAAGCAACTATATTGCTGTCATTCTTGACCTGAGATACTGCATTGGCATGAACAAGACTATTGTGAAAGCTCTCCCTATAGCGCTAATTATTCTGAAGGAATTATTTGCTATTTTTTTGTCCATGATGCAAACAAGCTCAATACTTCAAATTTGACCTACTAGAAGAGTTTTCCAAATTTGAAAATACCAGTTATTTTTTTTATATATATATTTGTCTACATATTCAGTTAAAAAGTAATTTTCACAGAACTAGCTACCTAATCTCTGGAAATGTTTTTGGTTTTTTTTTTTTACCTCTGAAAAATAATTTCACTGTATAAAATTAAAAGCACTAGGTTATGCTTCATGATGTTTCAAAAATGCATTTATCAGTTCAGAAGTGCATTTATATATTGCACATTTTTTTTTTTATTTTAGCTAACATCACGGTTTGAATTCTGCCAAAAATCAGTACAAATTGATGTTAGCACTTTTATTCTAAACTGATTACTCACATTCAAAACTGATTTGAAAATAACATGTTTTTTCACATTTGTATTACTTCATTCTAACACTGACTTAAATATATGCAATAATACTCATGTCCAATGTATTTTGCCTGAATGAAAAGTAACTGTTAATAGCAGATTTGCTTTTGAGTATTTAGTTCAGTTACATAATAAAAACCAATATCAGTCTTTCACTAAGTCAGTTGCCTCTGCACTGTCTCTATTATTGAAAATATCCCTGGGACAAGTTAGTGCTCTATAGTTACAAAGATTACTATGTTTTCACTAAAATACTTAAACAATGCAGGTTCTGCTAAAGTTTCTCAGAACATCACAGTTTACTAGGTTTTAGTACCAATATTTAAGGTCTACAAATAATTTCTGATGAAATTGCATTGTGGATAAGTTTGATTGCTCTTTTCTATTATTTTGTGAATAGTACATTAGGTTAGCTTTTTTACAAATAATACTTAGTAGTATTAGAGTACTAAGCCATGCTATCCAGCACTAGATTTATGCTCAACAAGCCAAGAAGTTTGCTTCTCATAATTGCTCTTGTTGTTGCACAAATCAGAATACCAGTTTGCACTTTCCACTAGAATAAAGCATGCTGCACTCCATGAGGTGCAATGGGAATCTTCATACCACACACGTAATACACACCTACACTTCAAGAGATTATACAATCAGTTACCTCCCAGTCAAATAGGGTGGGTTGCACAGTGCTTCTGTAAGTGTCTGAGCTAAGATAAACCCAAAGGGTAGATGGAATGAGCGGGGAAAATACAAAGGTTTAACATTTCAGAAGGAAAATTGCATTACTAACAATGTAAAAGTTTACTGTATGTTCAGATGCTTCAGGGATGATGAGCTGACAAACAAGAGTAATTCAAAAAAAGAGGTATACCAACAATTTATCAAGGTACCTCCGGACTGAAGCTCCACCATTCATCATGTCAGCCGCTTCCCCTAATTTACATTGCGCACTCTGTCATCATCCACGTTATTAATAAAGGTCTTGAATAATATGGGCCCCAGTGCTGACCCCTGGGGTACTACACTCAGCTGACTGTCAAGATGTTGATTGCTATCATTTGAGACCAATAGTTCAGCCAAGTTTTCAACCTACTCAGCAGTCTGCTCATCAAGCCTAGACTTCCTTAGCTTCCAAACAAAAATGCTATGGGAAACAGTGACAAAAGTCTTAGTAAATCATGGTATGTTACATCCACTGCTCCTCCTTCATTCACATAATCACTCATTTACATATAGAAGGCAATCATGTTAGTCAATCATGATTTGCACTGAACAAATCTATTTGACTACTCCTGATTACCTTCTTGACCTTCGTGAGCTTGGAAATGGACTACAAGAGGATGTGCAATTCATGTGCTACACAGACCACAAAAGGATGTGTCCGGTGATCCCAGCAGAGGCTGAGGTGTAGCTGATCAACCTACCACTCCCTCAATCTTCCTTCTATCATTTCTAAAAGAAGGAAATAACATAACCTTTTCCTAGTCAACAGAAACATCTCCTGATCAGCATGAATTTTCACAGAGAACCACAGCCAGAGCCATGCTGGCCAACTCTTTTATCACTCTGTGAATTTCATCTGGACATGTGGATCTGAATGCATCCAGCTGCTCTAAGAAGTCCACAGCCAGTTGCTCCCCTATGAGCTGCCCATCGCCCTTGCAAACCAAGTCAGACTAAGGCAAAAAAAAGCATTGAGCACTTCAGCCTTTTCGGCATTGTCTGTAACTCGTTGATTCCCCCCCATCCATCAATGGACCTATCTGCATTTTCCCTAAGCTTCCTTATGCAACTAGCGTACCTTTAGAACCCCTTCATGTGAGCCTGTATGTTCCCTGTTAGTCTTCATACCTGATGGGCTTTGGCCTTCGTGATCTTTTTGCTAAGTATGCTCATGGTACTTTTATATTCGCCTTTTGTTAACTCTTTTTCCTTCCACCTCATCTAGATGGGAATACGTTATTGCCACTGCTAGCAACAGGCCATGGGGATTTATATCAAGTCAACAGTGCAAAGCATCAGGGACTTGTCACACCTTGTTTGGACTTGAGCTATTGTAGCTGTAATAGGACACAGCCAAAGCGCCAACTGTTGCCTTATTTGTTTTTCAGCTTCAGTTTACTGGTGTATAATTTTGTTGTATTACCCTAAAGAAATCACAAAATATATGGTAAAGGCCTAACAAAATGAAGAGGTCATTGTGGAACTAAACCTGGGGACCAATAAGAAAGCAAGTGTAGCAAGAGACTCTTTTGGAAACATATAAAAACAACACCAAGCATATCCAAGACTGAGAAGGAAGGAACTGGCATTTTATCAACAGTTCCTTCCCAGTGAAGAACCGAGGATGTTGATGACTCTGATAATTTACTGTGAAGAAATATAAGGTAGATATGAGAAGATTTGTGTATATCAGTTAGCAGTAATTAGTATTAAGTGGATTATTTGGACTAAACATATTAGTGGTGACTTGGCGATCTTTGATAATTCTGGATCCTATATTATTTTTTAAAGTATGTTTGAAAATATTGCTGAAATATTCTTGCTTGGAAGGTAAATCAGAAAAAAACTCAAATGTTTTGCCCTTTTGCCCTCCTTTAGCTATCTAGATCTGACAAAACAACATAAAATATTTTGGAAAATAACTGAGGAACAAAACTAAAACAAATTATTAGCTATTTGGCTTAGACGTACAGCTCCCAAAACACACCTCAGGAGTCTCCTACTGCCTAAATGCTACAGTGCAGTCCACAGCCAACCACCAGCTGCATCTGTACATGAGGCTGTACGACCTAAGGGGTCTACTGTGAGCAGTTGTTTAAGGTTTGTGTTACTTCTTAGCTCCCACAGCACAGTCTACAGAGCTTTTCATGGTGGATGTGAATGATATACAATATTTCTGTTACCACGAAATGGAATGAGGCAAATGTAATCACATCCCTCTCACACCTTTAACACAACCGAAGGAGCTGAAGTTCCTCCCCCCACCCCCAAAACATCCAAACCCCCGTACCTGTCAGCACGATGTCTACCACCACATTTTCAAGAGTTGGATTTTTGAAGGATATCATGGCAAAAGAATACTGGCCAATGCATGCACTTATGCTGGTTGGTTCCATCAGCTGAGGAGGAAGACCAGTCCCCGAAAGGTAAAATATCCACTCTTTAAGCTGCAGACGAAACATGTGTCATTATTTACAATTGACAAGTCAGATCTGAACATTTTAATGCATTTTGCCTACTTCTTTCTTCTAGTGTTCTATGTAATACTTTGTGCATGCTTACAAACACAGAAACAAACAAACAAAATTTTTGCAAAACTCTTCATACAGTAGCTATGAGGCAATATTAGTCTAACGATGCTTTCCAGGCCCACTGTAAATGTGTGTGGACCTCCTAGTTCATAGCAAGTGATTTTACATTGAGGTACAGTGCAGGGGTGGGAGGAGTGCACTTGTTCGTATTTTGTGCAGGTGAGCTGTAAAGATCAAGTTTGAGCTTTATTGCTGAAGGCTCAGGCTCATGGTCTACAAATATTAAATGTTGTAGCTTCCTCTGATTTTTTTTTTTGTGGTTAACAAGCACAGACATTTTGAACTTGATTGCTTCAAGTGCTGAGCACCTTTAAAACAACACACTGAAATTTTGTCAAACTGAGCAGCTAAAGAAAGAGCCAAACAAAATTAGTGGTCAGTCTGGAAAATAAAAAAAAGCCACCAAAAAAAATTATACAGATTATAGGACAGGTCTGACTTGCCTGACCTGCAGCCACTGTTCCTCACTGACCCACTTTGTGATGGAGCTCAAGATCATGTATGCTCAGTGCAAGAAATGAAGAGGAAAAAAGATTTTAAAAAAACCAGAATCCTAAAGCAAATAATACAAGATAGCATCTAATATTGGGCTCAGTTTCTCTCTAATATTACTTACTATTGTTAAATGCTCTACATTATACCTGGATGCTGGCAATGTGGTAAAAGAATAGGATAAAACAGGTATGTTAGATCTCTGGGCATGGGTTATGTTCAAGCTGATCCTTCAGCTGTGCTGTCCCAACAAACTTAATTTCAGATTTTCACAATGATTAGAGCTAAACTCAGATTCACTTTGTGAAGAGCTCTTCATACAACTTCAAGCCAGAAACAAATGAAGCAGATAATAGCACAGAGCAGTTTCTCTTAGTTCAGCAAAGCAGCACAATCAGAAATAGTTAAGGTTTATCCTAGAAGTACTGTCATTAACTGATTTTAGATTAGTCAGCTATTCAGCTATCAGATGGCTTAAGTGTCCATTCAGATATATTCAATCAGAGAAATCAAGGGAGGGAAATCAATGTCGAAGGGAGGGGTTTACATTAAAAGTCATTTGAGGCATCCACCACTGATGAGAAACATTCTTCAAGCCTTCATTAAAAAGGGCAGTTATATCTGTGCAAATACTCACTGTCAGCTATCAGTATAACAATTAACAAACTCAAATAGTCTGGGATTAATTTAGTAAGGACTTTAGCAGTGAAAATGAATGAAAATTTACACAATTCAAAAGATTCAGGCATAAAAAGAGCACTAAGAAATTACAAAGGTTATACCAATACACTGAGAAGGTTAAAGGGGTCTGGACCAAGCAGCTAGAAGGATGGAATACAGACTAAAGTTCAACTTGGAGATTTGCCATTACTTGAAAGGAGATGCACTGGATGGCACGACTCAGGTGGCAGGGCTCAATTGGCTCCTGAAAGGTTTAAATGAATTCTTGCATTGTTTCATTGCTTCTGTATTTGGTGAAGAATTTCTTTTTTCTTTTTTAAAATACAGATAAGATTTCTGTGTACCATTAGGATCCAGACAAGATAAGGACATTCTGTCCTCTTGAATTGGCCTTGGATATGTACTATTCACATGAGAATTGCTGTCTCCTTGTTTTTATCCTTAATAAATATTTAAGAAGAGAGGTCCTGAAAATAAATGCTGTGCTAACACCACCTACAAATAACCTGTCTGTTCAACATACTTCATCAGGAAAAAAATTGCTACATCACTTCCTTCGCTATTTGTTTTCTTCATATAAAAGGATATTTGCTTTTGCAGTATTATTTGAAACACTACTGAAAACTCCTGGTAGCACTTAACAGGAGTGATTTACAGGTCAGCAGTCTTTTAGGATATCTGAAAGTCCAAAAAGAATACAGAGAGGAAGTTGCACAGAAAGCAAATGCTTCATTCAACCACAGCTCATGTGATGAAATATTATCATTTACATCACATTATCAGTTTTTCTTTTTGCTTCTAGTTGTAATTTTTAATCAGCTAGTAGGTCATGTTGATGATTCATGTTTCTTTTTTTACAAACAAGTAAAAAATTTAAAATTAGGAAAATTCACAGAAAATAAAATTTCAACAATTCTAAGATGCTCAAAGTAAAAACCATTTTCAAACAAACTGAAAGGAAGATTTTCAAGAGCATGACCTTAAAAATTCAGATCAGATAAAAAATTAAACCATTTAATTTTGTTTGGGGTTGGGAAAATCATCCAGAAATTTAATTTCAGAGGTGACAATGCCAAGAAGTGCCACTCTTCCGGTGTTAAAAACAGCAGAACTAATTACCAAAAAAGCCAAAATTATTCATTACGTATTCTAGCTCCTAGGCCATCATGCCACATTTTAATACTGTAAATAGAATAAATTTTGTGTAAGACTAAGGTTAAAACAAATCATAACTTTTAAACATTTTTGCATTTGCTCTTTCATTATGCATCCAGCCATTAAATGTCAACTTGCCTTACAGATTGAGTCCCTTACTTACATCCCTATTAAAAATATTATCTAATCTGAATTCCAAGTGGTGTGGGCAGCAAACGTAGTATTATACCTGTGAACATTTGAAGGTTATCGATGCCTGGTGATTGCCTCTTCCCAGGGTAAATGGACAGAATTGCACAGGGATTTTGGTGGTGGAATGCGGAGCAACAATCAGCTGTACAAAAACAAGAAAGAAGCAAAATTTTTTGAGTCTGTTTGTTTTGTATCTTTGTATCAACAGTGTTGATGTTTATGTGATTAATGTGTTCCACCAGATGCAGTCTCCTCTCCGCCAGCACAGGCTGCCAAGGCAGCAAGCGTATTGCCGTAAGCGATCCCAGCGGCAGTCACTGCACGTTCATTCCCCAGGAAATACAGAGCCGGCGTTACAGGTTGCTCCAAGGACATGGACAGCAGCTCGCACAAACACCATTCAAACAGGACTTCGGTGTCTGATTGTACTGATGACTAAAAGGTTATCACATTTACCTCCAAAGACATGAACTGGCTTATAAGGGAAATACATGGTAGGTTTTAATAAACTAGCTCTTTGTCTCTTCCGCTTACCTTTATCTAAGCTAACACTGTAAATGATGTTGCTAGTTTGATGTTGCTAGTGATGTTGCATTAATACAAACTAATACCTGAAACACAGGTTACAGTTTACAAGAACCAGCAGTAATCTTCTGCAAGTTGAATGCAGTGCTGTATGGAGGGACTAAACCTAGGATGCAACATATTCAGGAGAAGAAGCAAGTATTTAAATAACAACCTCCTGCCTTTGTCATCAAAACTGTGAAGGAAATCACATTACCTCTCCAAACATGCATCTACAGTGGAAGAAACAAGTTCAAACAGGGACAGATGTATGGAATAAATATTAGGTAGTTGCTTATAGTAAATTCAGAAAAGCTATCCCTTACCTGGAAGAACTACTGTTAATTCACAAAGAACATTTCAGAATTCAACACATAAATGGTTTATAGGACTGAGAATTCCATTAAGAAGGAAAGACAGACAGACAATTACAGCAGTTAGTACTGAATGTGTCTTTTCCTAAGCAATGTAATGTAGTTATTGTGATAGGTGAATCTCTAGTGATAAACTAGGAAAGCAGAAAGGAGTTTTGTTCTGGATTTGGTTTTTTGTTTGGTTTTTTTTTTTTTTTTAATTTCCTGGACAGGGTAACATGCAATCTTCAGGAGCCAAAAGTCACTATAATTAAATCTAATCCCCTTCTGTGCCAATGACCTAAACATAACATGTATAATACTGCGAGATAATTAATATAGTTTGCATCCATTATGTTTCTTAGGTCCTAGCCAAATACCAATTGATGAAATGATTAGTAATAGCACTTGTCGAGTTCTAACATAACGTATGAAGATGTATTAATACGCATGACATAAAAGACAGACTAAATTAAACATTTCACATTTTATATTTAGTGTAATAGTATGCATGCAAAATATAGGGCAGTTCAGTAAATAAGTGTGATCTCTCTTAGCTGTTATCTTTACATCCCCTTTAAAGAACATTTTGTCTTGTACTGCTGTATTTGAGGCTGAAAGCTGTTTAGTTTCTGAAAGCCAAAAATGCACATAACTTTATAGCATTCCTCTATTTTCCCCGTACAATCCATTTTCTACTTTCTTCTAGGACTTTTATTTTAGGATCTTATTACACTATTCCTCTCCTCTCCCTCTGACCCTTATACCAGTTTGCACAAATAGAATCACAGAATCATAGAACAGTTTGGGTTGGAAGGGACCAACCAGCTCTGGTGTATGTCTTCCCTCTATTATCTTCCTCATATCTAGAAAAGGTGCAATTGCCATTTCTTTCCTGTCTGCAACAGGTTTCTTAATTTAATTTTTTCTTCACATCAAATGTTCTATATTCACACCTTACTAAAAGGTCCCCCTAACTCCTTGCTCCAGAGTTTCCACACATCTTTCTTCCCTTTTCTCACCTCCCCATCATAAAAAGGACACGTATTTAACAGCATTAATTGTTAATAACATCTGAAGAGTTCTTTATAGGACCTTTACTATTAACTAGTAATCAGTGGTCAATAACAAATATTTTTCAGAATCCTGACCATCTAGAACTCCAGCCAATCTCAATGAAAATATGAAAGCTGAGCCCATCTATACAACTCTCAGTCCCTGAAAGGACAAAAATGTTAGGCAGCAAGATGGACGGGCTCCTGTGATGAAGGAGGAAAAAGTAGTGTGCATAACAGTAACAGGATGAAGATTTTCTCAGTAGAAATCAGTCTCAGGGTAAATGTGAGTTTGGAGAATAAAATGATTCCAGGCATTTGCTTGAAGCTTCCTTGTGGCTAAATTGATCAAATTCTTATTGTTACGCCCTGCAAGTTGGTTATAACTGCCACGACTATGAGATATTCTTATAGTCTTACATTAATATTTTACCTACTTAAATATTTACCTAGTTATCCTGTGAGTCTTAGAAACTTGCGAAGCTTCTAATACAGTTGGTTTGTTTACAACTACTCCCTCTAATATCTCCTAAATATTATTTGCAATCAACACTGCAGTCCTTCTCAAAACCATTCCACAAAGTGTTCCAGGGAAAAAACATCTGTACTTCAGCTTGTGTTGTTTTTCAAGTTTAATTGTTTTTGTCCTTAAGCTATAAAATCTGGAGAATACATACATATAATGTCTCTAATCCTTGAGACTATGTTGTGCATTCTGAACCCGCAATATGATACAGAATTCAGTATGTTTTGAAAAGAAGGATCTCTTCTATCACTTTTGTGAAAGCACAGAAATCTTACTTACAGGCTCTTTTGGATCAGTCTCAATTGAAAAGTTGCTAGGATTGCTGTTAACAATTTCTAGCTCCAGAGTTTCACGTGTAGGATTACAGAGAGGTATGTATAGACGAGCCCATCTGGAAAAAATACATATATGCAATGACTATTAATTAAAAAGCTACTTCCATTGCATTTTATTATTCATCACTTGTTTTCCTTTTCAAAAAATGACTACTTTTTAAAATGAGAATTATGTTTTATTGCATTAGTATTTTTCCACTAGTATGGACATATATTTAATAGCATTAATTAATGTTAATAATAATTACTAATAACACTAAAAACTGGTAGCAATAACCATTCTAATACTTGGGTCATTCATAAGGGCAGAATTTGTCTTGCCCTTGTCTTGTCTTCAGTGGCCAGAAGGTTAGTTTAAGTTAGTTGGTGAAAAGAACTGTCTAGTTCTCTCAATACTCAACAAGGAGAAAAAACATTTTCCTGGAGAGTTGGTCCTAATGTAGATCACTGAGATGTGAAATCACTTTTCATTGTCCACAAGGGGAGCCTACACGTAATGCTTTAAACTTGATGCCTAACTTTTAGATAGGAGGACGTGGAAATTAATCCTAGTGTCTCTGGTACCACAGCTTCACATTTATTCCTAGGTTCCAATTTGCAGATTTATGTCTCGCCTTTCTTTCCTTACTTTCTGTAGACCCAACTTTGGAATAAAACATTTTAGTGAAACAGATAATTCAGAGTGCCAAGGCCAGCAAAAAAACTTGGTTCCAAAAAGTAAAATAATTTTATGTCTTATTATTCTGTAGTCAATCCATGGACAGAAATCAAAGAAAATCAGATAAGTGATATCTGTAACTTCTTTTTGTCTAAGCAACGGTTTACAGGAAAAGCATGTAATTAAGTGGTGCTGCCAACAGCTTTTGATTTAGTGCCAGTAGGCAACCATTCTTCTTGATCATCTTGTAACCTTGAGATCTCAAAACAAACTTGGTTTCCACACCAGCTGTTTCAATGGAGATTCTGCCTCCTTCACTCCTCTTTCTTCCTCTGCATGGACTCAAAATCTGTTTCATTTTATACAACTGTTGCATTGGTTGCTATAGCATAATGGTAACACCATTATGTTGCACATGTGGATTACGTATTTTAATGAGCATTGTGGCTGTCCCGGAACAAAGATTGGAGTGTGCTGATTGCCTAAATGTTATGCTTTAAATCAGTTGGCACTCTGTTTTACAGACTGTCCTTCTTTATTTTCTAATTAAAGAATAAACAAACACAAGATACCTTGGGAGGGAGCACAATTTTCAAAAGAATTCATAGGACTCCCAAAAATTCCTCTATTCTCATCAAAATAATATATTTTTTGCCTTTCTCAAAGCTATATGACCATAAATCACATTCTTGTGATAACACCAAAGGACACAGAAAAGAGATTCAAGGTGAATCAGTGAAAACAGTAAATAAGAAAGGTATCTGAAGAAGGACTAAAAGATGAACTGTCAGAATTTCTTCTTTTCTTTTTCAAGAATTGATTAGAAATTGATTCTAAGTGTATCAATCGCTACTTGGCTCCTAATCCAGTTCCAAGTGATGTTTCAATGATACAAAGTCTTAAAATTTTCAGATTGATAGCAAAAAGAATGCAGCAAGCACATAATGAAAAACATTATTCTTAGAAGGATATCACATATGTTTGCATGCTTTTTCTGCATTCAAGGACAAGGTGGTAGAATGGAAGTTAGTCTCTTAAAGAACTACAAAGCTTCACCAACCAGAAATGCTCCAAACATTTTATGACATTTACAGTCCGCATCTCTGCAAACATAGCAAGGAAGTACACCCATTCCAAACAAAACAAATTGATACCTTTCTTAAACAGACAATACAGAAATGTCTACCTGCAATGCCTTTGCATATTCAGCATACATTAATGCAGCCAATTTACTGGACTATCTCATCTTTTCAGCAGGTAGAGCAATTCTCAGTAATTTAGCTGTAACCTCAACACCATCATCGATTGCCATTGTCCAAAATTTTGCACTTTAAAGGAGAGAACATTATGCTGATGACACAATAGAAAGAAATTTCTGGAGAAAGGAGAGTGTTTAAGGAATAACTGAACAAAAAGCAGGAAACTTTATGAAACCAAGAATAAGGCACATATAGGCTACAATTCCATTTCAATTCTTTTTCTGCAAGGAGAATTTCACCTATGTACACCTGTGTCTATAAAAATTATCTGCAAACTACTATAGTACATATACAGTACTATTACGGCTTTTTGATGTAAAGTCTTCATATGTTTTCCATGATACTTCAAACCAGTGACCAAGTCAGCACGATGAACTACATACTTACTTTCCAAGCTCACATTCTATTTCAGGTAGACTAGTTGGCGATGGTTTCTCTACAATCAACTTCAGTGCATACCAAAACTCTCCAATCATATCTGACAGGAATATGACACTAAAAAGAGATACATAAGTTTAATATGACACAGCTTTGGTGCAGACAATTAAAAACGTACAGATTAAAATTCAGGAAAAACCTAATGAGTTCAACACAGTGAGTTTTTTAATTAGTTCCCAGTTTTCCTGTAACATTTCTTGCTGGTATCTCAATTCAGATACCAAAACTAATAATATTTACAATTACTTATGAAACAAAATCTTTTCTTCATCTTTCTTAACTTTTTAGCTGAAAAAGTTGTTTGTTGTTTTGGGTGGGTTTTTTTTTCTTGTTTATTTGGTATTTTTCCAAAAATACAACTCAAAAGCATTTCAACTGCTAACTTACAGGAGTAAGCTTTAATTTCATTTCAATGTCACAGTATTTTCTTTCTAGCCATTTTAAATTCAAAGGACAAAGAAACAGAAATAGTATTCACTGATTTTAAAAAAGAAAATCTTTTCAAATCTAGTGATGAAAACTTAGGAATCGATATAGACACATTTATATGAGCACGACAAAGAGATATGCTTCAAAGGAATAGTCAATATACTGTTTTGATATACAATCAAATGTTGTCATGACTGAAAATTGCTTGCTGCTAGGTGAGATATGTACAGCAGTATATTTCTGTGACAGACATTCTAACACACTCCTTTACTATTGCAGATTTCTTTTCCTATTTTGGGGTTTTTTTGAGTGGCAGAGTCATAATAACATTAAACCAAAGCACTGTAAGCATATAAAAACCTACATGAAATGCACTGTGCAAACCTGTGACCCATTAAAGACCAGTTCCTGTTGTAAACGATAGATAACTATGTCTGTTCTATGACTTTATGGTTCCAGACTATCTTCTGTGCCAATAGAGCCTTTAAAGTGAGCATGAAAGAGCTTAGGAAAGAATCATGCTTTTGAAAAGGTACACCTGCCACTAACACTTTTATAACACTTCTTCCCAGCTGCTACCATAGCAAAGGAAACAGAGCATGGCTTCAGACAAAAAAGATAATATTGTGGCTGTAATGTGGAAGTACCTCTGTCCAGCTGTAATTGTAGTCCTTAGGAGCTATTGCAATTTAAAGCAGCTATTAGTCAGCTTTCTAGTACAGTACTGCACAATTGTATTGAACATGTACAGGTGTGCTTTATCTCATCTTTGCATATATTCCCCTAAGTTCCAATCTACCAATTAGCTGAGCCCAAAGTTTTGCCAGTTAAAACAAACCTTTATTTTTATTATTTGGAAATTCTGCACTTGAAAAATAGCAGAAATATTATCTGATATGGAAAAAATAAGATCTGTTCTCATTCACAGCTTCAGAATGCATAATTTCTACAAATTGCCACAGAAAAAAATATTCACTAGAGTGATAACAGTTCTCATTTTTATAAAACAGTATTCTTGAAAGCTGTATTGTACAATGATACCTGCCATTATTCTGGTCTTTGGAAAAATCAATACAAGCAAATTGATCAAAACTTCGAAATAACGTGGATCTTGGCTTTGTAAATATTGGTTCTTTGAACACAGGTCACCTGTCTCTGCCCTCCCTATAAACCACCACCCCACTCTCCTCCCTATCCCAGTAGCTTTGCCATTCAATTGATATCATTGAAAAACAGGGAATTGTTTTTCAGTCAGCCCTTCAACTAAATAATGCTTTGCTGACCAAACCCCAGGAAAATAAACTTTGCAATTCTGCAGTCTTCACTTACTTGTTGAACTGGTTTATCTGAAACTAAGACCAAGAGGTCATCTGTCTTTGTATCAGTAATTATCATATCTGCATGGTTTTGTTGAGATTTCCAATGTAATGAAAAATTTGTAATTTAAAACCTCTCCATATTTGTTTAGTAGATCATTGTTAAATAATGGAAGATTCTGAAGCTAAATGGATGTATGTGAAGACTGTTAGAAGAGTTCTTCACCGGATTTTAGTTATGTTGCTATAGTTTTGCTCCTTCTCAGAAGAAAAATGAAATCATGTTACTCCCTTTACGGAACTTACAAATGTACAAAACTAACAATTTATCTGAAGTTTTCAGTGGGGACTTCTAATATTAAATAAATTTCTAAAAGATTGTTCACTGAATTCTAGTGAACTAGAATAACTAGGAGTTATTCTATTGCCTGTCAGTCAGGTTTTTCCCCTCAGAGGAAAGCTGCTGCTTGGGATTAAATATATTTAAAGTTGGAAAATTTTTTAATTCCATTTATTACATTTTGTGGGAGTTTTTAGGGTGCTAGCTACATCAAGCAACCAAGGTTTCAATGAAAGTAGTTCACTTACTAGTACAAAAGCCAGAACCACAAGTATCAAAACTCCACAATTTACCTTCCGTCTGAAGTGCCAACAACAGCTGGTGAAAATTTTAGTTGGTACAAAAATGTTTGCTTGGGCTGAAGAGTGAAAGACTTTTGTCCACTAAGTGACTCATTCTCCAGCACCACACTCAGCTGGAGAATTTCATCTGCAGGATTAGTGATGGGAATAGGAATCACAATTGTATCCTAGAAAAAAAAAAAAAAAAAACAAACAAAAAAAACCACACACACAAAATTAATTATGAGCCATTACACATAAAAATGTTTCTCAAACAAGTTTAAGATGCTTACTCATGATTTACACTTATGTGAACACAGGCTGCACCTTTGTTTGATGTGTGAACTAACAAAAAAGAGAAGTTGCAGCAAGAGACATTTCAGCCAGTCTTCAAACTGTAAACTCTTTAATTTCATAAACAAGGAAAAGTTCAAGTCTTCCTGGACAGTCTGCACTCTAACAAGCTACTTCACCATCCAAGGTATCGCTGAAGCGTATCAAAATACACCTTACAGGCAGATCTGCTGTAGTCCCAACCGGGTAAACCCTCCCAAGCCGTCTTCCAATAGCCAAGCACAGACAGTTGAAAACGTCCAATTTGCAAAGTGGCAAACAATTCGGGCTGAATTCTGCAGGATCTATTCCTCTTAATTTTCAAGTTACATCATAATACTTGACATTAAAACACCACCACCACAATAAACATTCCCTCTCTTGTTACTTTTTGCCATTTCCCTCACTAGTGGTCTCCATATTTTTCTGTTTAAAGTCTATGAACACTACAGGCAAGGACCATCTTTTCTCGACCATCGAAAACATAGCTACTAATAAAGACGTATATTAAATTCCATTTACTATAATAAAAGGGAGCCAAACTATGGCCTGATTAGATTAATATGCATATTTTACACTTGGAACACCTTTAAGATGCGCAGGAATTGGGCAGAGGCTGCTCACTCTGCACAGCTCCAACATTGCATTCTTGAGCAGATCTTGAAACACTGCTATATTTTAGCAGTGTTCCAGTGACCCCCTTCTTTGCTGTAAGGCTAAAAATAGTGTAAATCCATCCTATGTACCCTATGTGTGTAAATATCAATACACTTTATGAAACGAAATGCTTTAAACAGACAGGAAGGAATATAATAATGAAGGAAGTCCACCATCACAATACATGATGCATACCTGCAATTTAAAATACATATGTTCTATTCATGTAAGTTCATCTATATAAAATATGCAAAATCCAAACCCAAATATATGTATTTATTTCTCTGTATCTATATTTATCTCTATCCCTATTTTGGTCTCCCCTTCCTTTGCTTTAACCAAGCAGTTAATTTGAAATGCAGGCTGTTTTTTTTAACATATGGTGATTTCGTTCTCACAGCAAAATTTTGTCGTATACTTTTTTGTAAAAAGTAAATAATTCAAATTGCAATGTGAAAGGAGAAAAAAAGATAAAATATCTATTAAGATTAATAATACACTAAAAACTGAACATGAAATACTTCACAACCCCACACCCAGCTGCCTCACTCTGCTTTCAGCCTGCCTATGATTTGGTAAATTTCTGTATATTTACCTTTATAGAAAATGACTACTGGAAAAGCACATAAAGCACATTTAATGTTCTACAGATGGCAAGATTACACCAACAGTTTAAATCATTCAAGTGCCTTGCATCAGTAAGATGGGATTTAAATTTATCCTAAAATATTTTAAAGCTCAGATTAATAGTTTTTACTGGTGTAAACAAATTTCTGAATATATCTACCATTTTATTCCTGAAGGCTTCATAACAATTTTATAGTAAAACGTCCACATGCTGTGTTGAAGAAATACTTTTACACTAAAAAGGAAATATTGGACTGCTTATTTAGGAAAAAAGGAGCAACTATCAAAGAAACCTTTCTAACTTTGTACATAAAGGAGATTTTATATTGCCAACATTAGCTTATTGTAAAACAATGTTCTCTTGCCAGTATAAAATGAATGCCTAGGACTATGTGTTTCCCTGGAATTTCCCAGGAAATTTCCCTGGAATTGCTGTAAACATTTCAAAGATCTGCTGCCTCATGGATGGTAATAAGAACATGGAAACATTCTAAAATTACTGTGCATAACACTTCTCTGTGTTCAAACTTCAGTAATAATCTGAATAAATTCAGATTTTATTTTATTGACGCCATCATCAGCTGTCAATAAAAGCACTACCTCACCAAAGCTTCTAAGAGACTAACTACACTTCTTAATGCTTTAGAACAATTGTTTTTCAATTAAAATCCAGTTTCATTAAGGAGATGACATTCACTCCGCATCTGTTTGCAGCTTTTCCAGTCCACAGACCTTGAAGAGAAAGCATTTGTACCTGCTCCTGAGTTTGCCAGGCTATTGCTATAGAAGCAAATTTTCAAGTCAGGTAAGAGGTAAGAAAGTTATTTTGATAGGCCTGGTGAGAAAATGCAGCAGAAATTCTTCTCTTTGTAGGTCCTTGTCCAAATCATTGTTCTTCTAGACTGACAAGTAACAAGTGTCTTCTTTCTCTGTGCTGCATCTCATGACAAGTAGGAACGTTGCTTACTCAAAGACTGAATTTGCAATGGTGCCAGTATTCTTGAAAAAAACAGATCTTGGCCTTCTACCTTCCATAGGCTCAAAATGATCAGAGCTTTCAATGTCACCATCAGTGTGTCTACATATCAGTAGCAGGAGTTAAGCTAGAGTCTCCTATTGTATCCTCATTATTCATTTCCATTTCTTGGAAGAAAAGAGGCTGACGTGAGTTGATCAGCAGAGTTGATGACAGTGTTTCAGACCCATGCTGAACATAGTTCAGTGCATTTTGGTCAAATTAGCTTTAGAAATCAGAGCTGGCTCTTGAACTACTTGACGCAAGGTGCCTCCAACACGCACCTCACCTCACCACTTCTCTCCACGCACACTTCTAATCCAGACCCACATGTCCACACGCAGCTGGGCCTTTCTCATATTGATCGTTCAGACACATGAAAGTCCTAAACTCCTGTGTCTTGAGGGGATGAGTCCTTCCAGCTTCCTAGTCACTCATAAGTGAATGGAGCAGATCTTTGTGAAGTGAACCATTTCCCTCACCATACAAGCCCTTCCCCACCCCATGATGTAAACTAATAGCCAAGATAACCCTCTCCTTTCCATGTAGGGTTATGAGAACAGAGAGTCACAGCATTGCCATTATCTTGATATTGTATTTTCCCATTTTACCCGGCATATTTTGCCTTACAAAAAATCAGCTTTCAGAAAAGCAACAACTTTTCATCAACAGTTAAGTCTTTATCAGAACAGCAAATTGAACTACTTGAAATCTAGGACTAAACACCTTAAGCAAATTATATATTTGCAAAACTTGCTTAGTAAGGAATCCATTCTTACTACTATTACAGTACAAGAAACTAACTAGAAGAAAAAAATGTGCACAGGACATCTAATATCAGAGGCTAATAGTGCAATGAGTTTCAGATGTAAATTTACACGTAAATTCACACATAAAAATCACAGTGAATTAAATTTCTTTTAGCTGAAGTGTGCATTAGTGCCTAAGTAATAGTGCCCTAAAAGAATATAGACATTATTAGTTCATAAGTTATTACAATAATTCTAAGCTCACCAACTAAAAATTACTACACTGTTAACCTCTTAATAGGGACTAGACATTGTGCCAGGCAAACAAACTGGGAGTTGCCAAAAACATCTTTCTGAAATTGAAGGAAAGGAGGAGACTGCAAAAGCGTTATATTCTGCCACTGAAGCTATCCGTGATGTTCTGAGCTCCACTAAAAGAAATCATGCACCTTGAGTAACACACACAAACTGATATTACAATAATGTGTAACATATATAGGAAAAGCTAGTGAACTACATAACATGCACACATTTGGACTTTCACACACCCCAGTTTTGTCCATCTGTATAATGTTTCTGGTTTGGTATGAACAGAAGTGGTAGCAAAGACAAGGTGAATTACAAGAGAAATGCTGTATTAAGATAATTATAAAAAACATACCTGACAAGGGGATACAGACTGACTGAAAGTCAAATTAATATCCCAAATTCCCACAACTGAGGAAGCAATAACTGTGCTTACATCTTAATGAATATTCCTTTGCATTTGAAATCAAGGCTACCTCTGAGACCATGTAGACTGAAGCTCAATAATTCTCCGTCCTCATGAGACCACAGGCAGATTTCCTTTTCAGATCCAGCAGTGTGAGATGAAGAAATTATCCATTATAGCTACTTTTTGCCAACCTCTGTACTGAAGGTTGGCACTTTCAGTGACCAGCTGGGTCGTCTAAGCTACTATGTACAGTAACATGGCTTATCAAAGCTGAATCAGGTTAGAGAGCACTACTAAAAAATAAAACAGTAGGTTAATCTTTTCCATTACCACAGCCAATCTGGAAGGAGATATCTGCCACTGCATTAACGTAACAAAGGACCAAATTAATCTTCAGAGGATTTTACAGGAAAATCATTTGCATCTACTTTGTCAACAACATTTTTGGAAAGCATGACTCAGCAGCTGACAGATTTCAATACAGCTCCTATTCATCATTCTTACAGGTCACTTTGCTGTGCAGATACATGTAATATATGAGGTGCCAATGATGGAAAACATAGTTTGAATCAAATCAATAGAGGTATTTACAGTTCTTGCTCAATAGGACTATTTTGGATGACTGACACTTCAGCAAGTCCAGGCTGCATTTCTTAAAAAAAGACATTTTTTTTTTTTTTTCCAGAGTGTCCTATCATCTTCACAGACTGTCATATCCACAATGCCAGTACAAAATACTTAAGGTTAGTATCACTCAATAAAAGCACTAGAAAGTGCAACATTTCTGAGTTAGAAATGTACTGCTCTTAGATAATGAAGTCAAGAGAGCTATCTGTTACTACTGTATTTTCAGAGAGTCAGTTAAGTCTCATGGAAAGGTAATATGCAATTCTTCTTCAAGCATGTCATGGCACAGAGGGACTTGCCCAAAATCAGCCTCAGACTAGTGACAACCACCATTTGTAAACAGTCCTTTCTTTCAGGGAAGTCAAGAACATGTAAAATTTAGGATACTTTCAGTTTCCAAATTGCTTCTGATGTATCAGGTAGACAATTAGCAAAATTTGTCTTTTTCAACCATTTCTCTCAGAT